AGAAGTTCATCATCGATTAATTTAATATTATTTTTTATTATTATATTTGATTTTGTTGATATGTCTTGCAATACAAAAAAAATAAAAGGTAAATAATACTTTTATCTGGATCTTCATTGAAACTGCTGGTCGATTTCAAGACCCTCTCATAACAATATTGTTTATATATTCTTTTCTTTGCAATATTGTTATTAATCTGGGTTGTTTGTGCGCTCAAGGTTGCAAAAGGTCGGATCCTGATGTTTAATGGTACCAGTATTGTTCTGCACGCACAACATGTGCCTTTGATGTGAAGGAGAATACATTTAGAAGTCGCTATCAAGTCAGCCAGCTCATCTTCCAGCAGCACAGCAACAGATGGTGCTGTCAATACAGCAGAGCTCAGACAAACACAAACAATACACAAGAAAGACTGTGACCAGGGCTGGCCCGACTCGAAGATTAGCTGTTATTTGTTCACTGTACTTTAGTCTGAGATCTAAGATTCTCAAGACGCATTGTGCCAGTTTTGATTTCAGGGACGCCAAATGCTTTTGCTTTTCATGATTAGTCATGATGCTCAATCATGATCTGTCTTGACATTAAATATTAAGCATGAATGAGATTTGAGATTTTACTATGCTTTGCAACATTTTGGACACACAAAGAAACCATTACTGTCCCGTTTTTTTTTTTTTTTAGGAAGTACTCTCAGAGGTGTCCAAACTCGGTCCTCGGAACTTGCCTCAACACACCTGCCTGGAAGTTTCTAGCATGCCTAGTAAGACCATGATTAGCTGATTCAGGTGTGTTTAATTAGGGTTGGAGCTAAACCCTGCAGGACACCGGCCCTCCAGGACTGAGTTTGGACACCCCTGTACTAGATCAACTGATTAAGGGTTCAACATAAACCACACAGGTCAAAAGTTTGAAGTAATTTATTAATGGATGAAAATGTTTCACCAAGGCTGCTTTTACATACATCAAACAGTAATATTGTGAAATATTACAATTTAGGATCTATTTTAATTTAAAACCTAATTTACTATTTGATTTGTTGATGAATAGAAAGTTCAAAAGAATCTTTAACATTTATTTGAAGTAGAAATCTTTTGTGACATTATAAATGTCTTCACATTAATTTATTGCTTCTGTGTTGAATAAAAGCATGAATTAATTTTTACATTTCTTTCTGTATTATTATAATTTTTTTTACAAATCTTGCTTACCCCAAACTTTTGAATGGTAGCGGATCGTGGTTTCCACTAAAACATTAAGCAGCAAAAACTCTTTTCAACATTGATAATGCTAACAAATGTTACATGTGCAGCAAATCAGCATATTAGAATGATTTCTGAAGGATCATGTGACACTTTAGACCAGAATAATGACTGCTGATTTTCAGCTTTGCCATTACAGGAAAAAAATGAGATTTCAAAATATATTCAAATAGATAACTGTAATAATATTCCACCATTTTATTGATTTCACTGTATTTTTGATCAATTAAATGCAGCCTTGGTGAGCAAAAGGTCTTTCAAAAACATGAAGAAATCTTAATTAGTCCAAACTTTTGACCGGTTGTGTGTAGAATATTGTGGTGGTTCATACGAAGCCCATCTGATATTCAAATACTCTTTTGATTGCTTTGCCTAGATGAGAAAAAAATTCCAGTTTCCATCTGTGTCCAATGGCATTCCCAACAAGGGCCCTTTTATCACTTTTGAAATTATTCCTGATAAATGTCTTGGTAATTCTCAATATTTCCACGGCGGCTGGTGCATTTGTCATCATTGAAGTCAGTGGCAGAGTATCTCACAGATGGGAACTCCTCACGGGTGGCATTGAAGTACGAGCCGCAGGTCGAGTGCCTCCTCTCCCCTCCGCCCGACGCACATGTGTGATTGATGACAACGTCTGTGTAGATCTTCACCTGCAGGAGCCGCATCGGTTCATTACCATGAGCCCACAGCACAACACTGCCTACCAGGACACATCAAAGGACACTGCTGTGCTTTCCTATCTACAGTGGGAACGCAATGAGGGTATCAAAGGGCTTTGGAGCTCTAATACAATGAGAACATTTTAAATGAGGAGATCTGCATTTAGAGGAATATAATTCAGTCAGGGACATCACTTGGGCAGGACAACTGGGAACATTATCCCATGTCCAAGGGGAGAGGGTGTCCACCCACAAAAATGTGTTCAGAGCCCTGATTTCTGTTTAAACTGATATGTGTTGGTTTTTAATCTACTTGGTTTAGGTGGTCAATTTTGCTACAGGGCTACCCTAAGGCAGGGTTTAGTCTAGGGCTAAATATAAGCTGGTCAATATATTATTGAACAGAATTGGCGCTCGCAGATACAGTATATCTTCATTATCAATCCTATTAAAATAGAAGTCACACATGTTTATAGAATTAATTTTACAATTCAGAAGCACGTACTACATGCACTGTTGCCAACTAATTTTCAGGGGAAGTTGCTAAAGGAAGGTTTTGTTGCTTAAAGTTGCTAAATGACGTTGTGATGTCATTGCGTGATGACGTCATTACGTAATCACGACGCAAAATTGTGTCACATCAAATCTCAGTAAAAAAATATATTTTTATATGTTAATTTAGATTTGATCGTAAAATAATATAAATGCATAATATAATGTTAAAATGTAAATAACTTTTTATATACAACATTGAATTATTGAACACTTACACATTTTTGAACGATTACAAGTTTTTTTTTTTTTTTTACACGTTTTTTACATTGTATTTTGTGTTTCGGATTAAAGGGTTACAATGGATAATGAATAACGGATAATGTCCTGGAAAATTACTAGAAGCCTACCTTTTCCATTTTTCTAGATATTTTTCTTACAGTGTACTAACTGATCAACAATCACAGGTACAACAAGGTGTATCATAAATGAACAATTATTAAATTATTATTATTATTATTATCAAATTGTACAATTGCAAATAGCAATAATTTAATTCACGTGATGTGTGTACTGCTAGGCATCTTTGGTTTCCTCTTTTTGTGAAATTTAGATGGAAAATGTGTGCCTTTTATTGTTTGAGTCACTTATCAAAAGTTGCTAAAAGTAGCCAAATAAAATTTAAAAATAGCTAAATTTGTTGCTAGGTGCTTTTGGAAGAGAAAGATGCTAGGGTACTCTGAAAAGTTGCTAAATTTAGCAAAAAAATTGCTAAATTGGCAACACTGACTACATGGTCAAATTAAGCGTTTATAACCTGTCACTGCGATAATGCCCGCCTCTCATGTTAATATCTTCGCATTGACTGGCTGATTACCCTGTCAATATGATATTTCCCGCCTATCAGGTTCTCTTCTTCACTCTGATTGGCTAAGTAGAGTGTCAAAACGAAAATACCCGCGTCTTTCGCCCATAATCGGTTTGCAAGTCGTCCTGGATGGGAGCAACTGGTGAAAATGAACATTTTAAAGGGGGGAGTCGTGGCCTAATGGTTAGAGAGTCGGACTCATAACCCAAAGGTTGTGGGTTCGAGTCGGGTGTGTGTTCACGGTGTGTGTGTGTTCACTGCTGTGTGTGTGCACTTTGGATGGGTAAATGCAGAGCACTAATTCCGAGTATGGGTCACCATACTTGGCCACACGTCACTTCACTTTAAAGCACATACCGCCTAGGAACCACTATTTTAGGTTCGAATCAAAATGAACTTGTGACAAACTTGAAATGATCCGTGAGTGAGCCATTTTTGATGACCATTTAGCTCAACAGGTAAAATGAAAGTTGCCCCTCCTAGTATGACCATCATATTTCTTGAACTGAGGTTTTGTTGACCTTTAGACCGAAATTAAGGTGAATTAATCCTAACATTAACAGTAAGTATCAGCGCTTTAACAGTAAGTATACTAACAATGAAAATCTACAAAACATTTATATTCATCCATGCATGTTTGTATATAAAATCGCCAGTATTGTAAATGTGTTTTATATTATATTATATTATATTATATTTATTATATTATATTAAAAAGGAAATTATTGATAAAATGCTCAAGTCGCCATAGTCTAACCCTAAAATCTAAAAGACCAACATGAATGTTCCAAAAAACATCTTGACCTACCAGTGAACTGTCTGGACCAACTGGAAACCAGCTGTCGTTCCATACGATAAATATAGACCCACTTCCCATCACAACGTATCTTTTTGTTTTACCCCTCACATGGCTTTTTGTGAGTTTTCCTCTGTTTGTTCAAATGTAGGTTCTTTTTATTCTTAGGACCAGGGGTGAGAGCTGGAGATTGATGCCTTGTGACACAGCCCTGGTGTTTGTGAATAACCATGACAACCGGAGAGGTCATGGGGCAGTCGGGGCATCTGTCCACCCGGTCTAGGAGCCTAGGTAGGAGCTGTCCTGTCTGAGACTAAAGCACACTGACTGTTTCAGCAGGAGCCAAACAGACATCATGAATGATGACTCTTGTCTGCTCTCATGGTCTTCAAAATGTACAAAATGACTGTGGCCCATCCCTACGGAAAGGGTCACGTCAAGCTGCTGCTGGGACCGGTATGTTGTGAAAGGAAAGGTGGATTGCAGTGACGTAAAGCACTAGAGAATCAGCGGGGTAAAATGTGACAGCTGTGGAGCTAAAAATAGACGAAAAGTCTGGCTTGAACATCTATCTATCTATCTATCATTACAGCATTCTATCTGTTGTTCTCTCACTCCATCCACCTATCCATCCTTTGTTCATTCTGTTGTTCTGTCATTTTATCTATCATTTCATATCATATCATTTTAATCTATCCATCTATCTATCTATCCATCCATCCATCCTTGTATCGTTCTGTCATTCTCTCATTCCATCTATCTATTGATCTGTCTATTGTTCTATTGCATCAATCTATCTTATATCTGTCTATTGTCTACATTTTGGAGTGTGTCCCAAAAACAATTTGCTTACTGTGCTGAACAGAAGCAGAAGATGAGTGTTAAGATGCCCCATGAAGGACAAAACTTACTTGCTTTCTCTCTTCGTGCTCCAAGAGTAAATGTGTCAATGCCAAGGTGTGCTTATTCATTATGAAATGAGTGATGGCTTCGCTGTAAATATTTCATGCATGCAACTCCTAAAAGTTTCATGATGTTGTCCGAATGAGTAAGATTTGGAGAGGAAGTGAAGTATTTCATTTGAATTATTGATGTTTAATGCCTTTGATAAGAGACGTCACAAAGGTCACCATTTCAATATAACCTGAGAGACTACAGTAATGAGCTCTTGTCCCTGTCAGAAAATGCTTATATTAGAAAAATACTGTGACTATCTTCTGTGGTCTGTTCTGTATGAACATCACTACGAATGGGCATCTTAGTTAGCCAAGCCAGTAAAGCCTTGTATGACCGTAAATTATGTTGAGGTGTATAGCATTACTCATTTCTTTCTATTTGAGTTCTTCATACTATGTGTATTGAATGCACAGAATGTTTTTTTAACTCAAAGGCCCTATTTTATCCAAGACAATATTTTTTTATCTACAGTAGGCAGTTTTTTTTTTGTTTTTTTTTTACAACTGGGCCCTCCTGGAAGTTCCAATCTAATCTAAGGTTTTCCTTTGCTTGGATGTGAACATACAGAATACACTAAAATGCCTACATATCGAGTAAATAGTTATAAATAAATAACCTTGTACTGCATGTGAATTGTGTTCTGAGTGTTTGCGCTCTGAAACCATAAAGGCATCTCTGCCGCACCACCTCCGAGCATCACATCTTAAAGTGTAGCTCAGGTTAACTAAGCGCTGACAAAATGAAGGCCAGAGCTGGTCTTCATCTCATTAGTTTTTTTGTGCTGTCTGAAACCCCAGTTGAATCTTCGACTTATTTCATCTGCAGTAACCTTGCTTATTCCCATCGGACGTATTTGTGTTGGTGTAAAGAATTTATGGCGATCTAAAAGAAATGTATAAATCCTGGGTTTGGCTTTTTCAGGGCCATTGGGGTGGACAGTGATCAGAATGTGTAAGAACGGCTCCCTCTGAGACTCTTTGTGACTAATACATCTCCCCTCCTTCGCTGAATGCCAAACAGGACCGACATGACTGCGGTGGGGTTCTTACCTAGCTGTAAGTTGGCCTTCAGTGCTGAATCTTAGTCAGCTTGTGTGCGCTGTGAGACATCCTGTGCAGGTTTTTGTTGTTAGCAGAATCCCATATGAGTTTTCGCTCAGCAGGAGTGAAGGAAGGACATGGAATGGAGGCACAAGGATCTATATTTGCAGCTGAAAAGGGATCTATCGGGCCGTTTGCCCAGAGACATGCTGTGAAATGCGTGTTCGTCATTGGCTTAACACTGACTACACTCAAAATACCAGAGCAAAAGTCATTATGCATTTGGTTGGCAGGTATGATGGAGAACTTTGTATATGATGTTTTGTCAGTGAATAACTGCTTGATAGATTGAACTCACAGTCCTGTCACTCCAATTCAAATGGAACTGATTCTGGTTCCTGTGGGGTGTGGCCAATTCGAATTCCAATATATGATTTAAAATCGAGTCAGTTCTTAAATTCGGAACTCTAGTTGGTAGTGTTGTCACGATACCAAAATTTTGACTTCATGATACATGACTAAAATATTTTGATACTACTACTGAACCGATAATACGACAAAAACATGGAACAACAGGAAAAGTAATTGAATGATAGATGATCCAAATGGAGGTCATAGTTATTTTATCTATTAAAAAAGCATTTCATCCACCTTAAAATAAAATAAATACATAAAAATAAAAATCACATGCCAGTGCCAACATTTTCTCAAATTCAATTTTTTTTCTGGATTCCACCCCCATTGTTATTTTTCTGGATTCCATTATTTTCCCTTTAAATTTTTCTAGACTCTAATTTATTGGTTACATTAAAAAATATTAATCAGAAACATGTCTAATTAATTGAAATCATGAAACATACACAATTTATTAGCAATTTATTAAAAGTTGAACAAAAATAAAAATTTTAAGGCCCTAGAAATTTCAGAAATACTGTATTTACAATTTTCTGGTGAATAAATTCTGGTAAATAATTTTTCTGGTAAATATTCCTTAAATATTGTTTTAATAATATTTGTATTAGTACTAGTAGTACTATCATTACATTAACTAATATATTTCTGTCAAGTTAAACCAAACTTTTATTTTGACGGGTTGCTGCAAACTACGTTTGGTCGTATATGATATGACGATAGTTTTCCGCAAAAGAAAGGGGAAAATGCTCATGAACTGACTAGTGATTATGTTCATGTGTTCATGTACTCATATTGAGGAGGTTGAGGCAGAAAACACAGCGAGCATCACGCGTGCTTCAGTATGTGTGCAGTAAATGAAACCGTGCTTTTTATGTTTGGATTCCATGATTCCGTCCGCGTTTTCCACATTGCAGAAATCATAGCGCCCTAAATAAACAGTGTTTTACTCAGGAAATACTGCTCTTTTTAAAATGCCTTCTCAAAGTACCGGTACTAGTAAAATGAGGAATTGTACCGTTTTTAAAAGCAGGTTACCGCGATACCTTTTTAGTACTGGTATAGCGTGCAACACTACTAGTTGGCATTCCGCTCACATTTTAGATTTTTCTTGCTTAAGATGCTGTGAACACAGACAAGCAGAGGGATACAAAGAGTGAAGCATCTCAATGCTGTTACGTTAAATATCAGCAGTCTTGAAACGCTGTTTAGCCCTTGAATTGGAAGACCGCATCTGTTGTATAAATTCATATAGTTTGGTTGGACAGGGTTTATATTATCAATGCATCATGCCCAGCTAATTTCAAGTCAAAAACTAGAAAATGTGGCAAGGCAGTGTTATGGCAGAGTTGGCAATATGTTACAGCCTCATAAAATTACTGAGCAGAAACGATATTTCTCATCCACTGATATGTCTGTAGCTTTCATTATTAATAACATGAATTATTGAACAGAACACGTCTCCTAATGTCTCATCATTCTCCTTAAGCAGGTGGGAGGTTTTCTCAAAAGGATGCTGGTGAGATTGCATCTAGCATACCAATGAAAATTAGTATGTGTGAGCATGTCTGTGTGTGTGAGACTATTACGTGAGACAACTATTAGAAAATCACACTTCACACAAGCAGTGGAATCCTATGGAAGAGCAGAGGGGACTGAGTTGAAACGTAAGTAATACGAATACATTTTTAATTGAAATGACAGTGTCAAATTCATCACAGTCATTTCCCAAGTTTGGACTGAAAAGATGCCTGACATTTGACCTCAGAATGCCACTCTAATATGAATGAAAAATTCCTTTAGCTAATGATTCCTCAGGCTACCATTTGCAGCTTATTCATGAAATTGCTGCCGTTAATTGTATTGGCTCTTTTGTACACACTAAATAACCGTTATGTCTGCAAAACTGCGGCCCAAATGATTCAGTCAGTTCTGGCAGAGCTGCAAGCTCAGTCAAAAAGAATTTTGGCTGCAGATTATGGAGGCATCCTGGGATTTCCCTCCAGTGAACATTGGCTTTGGAATCAATATAGCAAGTAAACTCATAGGCACTGTGTGTAGTCAACTATAAGCCAAACAGTAATTGCTTAAATTGATGTAATCCTTCACGTGTCCTCCATGTGGCAAAGTTAATATCAAAAAAATTATGTGTGCAGTCCAACGGTTTTGAGATAAAATCCTTAAATCAAGAACAATTAAAACTGTGATGCAGAGAGAGATGAACCTATATGTCCAGTTAATGACCTTTTTGCATTTTGCATAGTAATCTGGATAAACAAATGAGTGTAACCATACCCAAAAATGTGTAAATGCTGATTTATTTATTTTTTGCTTGACTTCAGAACTTTTAGGACTAGGCTCAATATAGATTAATCCGATACCTTTACACAAACTTAAACATGTGTGATGATCACTGTGTGTCCAGAGTCTGCTGTCGCAATGTATGAGGACATAAACTTCCTCTCCTGAGCTGTTCTGAGGGCTCAAAAAAAAAAAAAAATACACACTGACACTTACAACAAACCGACAAAAAAAGTTTAGTTTAACTTGAAGAAATTATGACAAATATATTACTATTGTGTACTGAAATATACTTCTCAAGGTAATAATAATGGTATTATTATTTTTAAGCAATATCATACATTCAAGATATTTTTTCATCCTTATTGAAAAATTACTCTTCAATATAACGAGATACTAAGTCATAATTTTGAGAAAGTTTCTCATTATTATGACTTACAGAATTATATTTTTTTATTCAGTGGCGGAAACGGGCTTCCATACTTATTTGACCAAAAAATAAAATAAATAAATAAAAATACAATGTTTTCTTGTAAATTATTTGTTATACTTTCATTTGATTAAATAAAATTTTTTTATTTT